GATATGGTTATGCAAGTGTTGGTGGATCATGGGAGACGCTTCACAGATACCACGTGGGCTGTTAAGGGAAGGTGTATGACACTCGTATCTTTAAGAACACAGGACTGCGCCGACGCTTGCAAGCAGGGACATTCTTTCATGACCGATGGATTACTACTGGCAATGGTGAAATGTGAGTAGTGATCTTGGCTGGACCCAGCTTACGCCTTGCTCATGAAACTATACACCAGCAACCTTGACAGAATCAAGAAAAGATGGCTTTGCAGGTGCAGAATGACAGCTGGGATGCTGGCATTGTTTACTCACAAGACTGGATTGAGAGAGAAAAATATCTCAATGGTTACAGCTGCCTGCTGTGTCCTACATGGTATCTGTGAGACAAAGGTAGAAAAGTTTCTGCTGGGGTGAAGGTGGAGCAGCTGTTTGGTGAGTTGGAACAGCCAGACACAGTGGACATTATGTGGCTGAGGGTGGCCTAGAGAAGCACCTTAACCACCAGCCACAGTAATGTGGTATGGTAGAGCGTGCTCTGCCTGGCCCTGTAGTTTTGAGGGTGGTTAGGAACTGTGGAGTGCTTGGTGTACATGCAAGAATACCACACTATCTTTTAATGCACCTATGAATTCTGTGGTGCTTGCTGTACATTATAATTATTACACTGTTTTTCACTGAACCTATGAATTCTATGGTCCTGTACAATTACAAGGAGTAGGTGCTTTGAGTGGCACTAGGCATTCTGCAGTATACGTTGTGAAGTAATAAAGATGAATTAATTTCCCCCAAATAGACATCTATTGTGTACCAAAAACAGTGTAAAAGAAGAGTGTGCAATTAAAACACATACTTCTAAAATAAATGAACAGAACAGAACTTTGAAACTGGAAAGGCAGAAAACTTTCCTGTCCATTTCAGTCCATTTTGGCCTCACATACACCTACAATGGATCTCACAGTGTATGAGATGCTGTCCTTACTGTCCTTGGGTGTGAAGAGGTAGGGGTTTAGGCAGGTGACCCCTGATGCCACATGGAATGTTGAGAGCGGAGTGTAGGGAGGTGCTAAAATGGAGTTCTTCATGGATTTCAAAGAGAAACGAGACCATGATTGTTGGACCTGTAGTCAAAAAGAGTCTGCAGCATTTGTGTTTCCTGCCTGAGAAGCCTCATTATAACCCGGTGCAGCTCCCTCTCCTTTTCCTGATGGGATTTTCTCCAGTCCGCTCTTTCCTCCTCCATGCTGTCTGCCATATTCACCCTCCAGGCCCTGTTCCAATGCAGCACTGGCTTGGGAGATCTCACTGAACATATCCTCCCTAGTTCTCTCCTTTCTCATCATTAGGGTCAGGTATTCTGTGGGTGTGGAGGGGGCATCTCTCAAGACCACAATGGTAAAACAGAAAAATGTATCATAGTATTTACAGTCACAATGAAAAGCAAAAGGTAAGTTTCAGAATGCCCTTCCCTTATCCCTATAAAAATTTAAAATAAGACATGTTTATTGACACTTCTGCTTTGGAGTGCCTGCACAGCACCGCTCTCCAATCCCAGCCATGGAGAGTATGGCCTCCCAAGAGCAGGAGGCCGGGGAGAGAGAATGGGGGAATGAGGAGGGAATTGTTCAGTTACATGACTCAATAAAATTTTGGCCTGTTTCCCTGAGTACAAGTACAGGGCAATGGCACTGAATACTGCGGTGGTGATTTTAGCGGATATCTCACTCCTGAGGGTAACAAAGGCACACACAGAGGGCAGCTGCTGCTGACATCCTGAAGCCACGCAGGCCCATATGGCACTAGCCTGTTTCCTGAAATGGTGCCTGCTGAAGTCATTGTGGAATGGTGTGAAAAAGTGCCCTGTTGTGGAGAAAGAAAGGTTGGCATTCCTAGAAGCCTTTGGGAGAGGACTGCAGTGTATCTCCATTAAAGTTTCACTGAGATCTTTCAGAAGGATACAAGGGACATCCCTATATACATAAACAAACTGCTCTGCAAGCCCTGCCCTCCCTTCTCCCCATCTAATCCTACAGGGAAATGAAAAGCAGATAACACCTCTCCCTCTGTTCGTTATATCGCTACCTCTTCTCACACAAGTAAAACTATGAAAATTCGATACCTGTGTCCTGTCCCTTGGGGTTGATCCAGGCACCACCTTTACATTTAAAGACTGTAAGGAACAATACATGCATACACATCTTCCCCTTCACTGAGCTTGTCTACACTCAGCTGGTAGGACTGGCTAGACTGCGGTGGAGTCTCAAAAAGATCCTGGCTCGTGGCGTAGCTGGACTTCTCTCCCCGCCAAATCATGGTAGGGCTCTGTGTCTCGGGCTCCTCGGAGGTATCTATGGTGGTCTGCAGGGTGTTGGTGCTGTCTGCAGTTCACTGTAAAAGCAGCAGGTCTCTGGTTTGCCACCAGTTTGATCATTGGCATCTCTGGTCTTGTGGTACACCTGCTGTAGTACCTTCACTTTCACAGGGTACTTTTGCTGTTCCCTGTCATATACTTTCACCTGCATCCCCTGTGCAAGCTTTTCATAGATGTCCACGTTTCTATCACTGGTCTGTAGCTGTGCCTGCACAGCCTTTT